CTCCCACTGCTGACGCAATTCGTCAGGGAGAGGGGTGTCCCAATCGGATTGGGTTAACCATAATTCCTGTAAAAGGATTTTTGCAACAATGACGACGGGCGCGGCGCAGCCGAGGGGGTCGTATAATCGAGCAATAACTGACAGGACGGAACACTTCGTCGGAGTGACCGGAAACGAAGCGTCCACTTGAAAACGAAACGTGTCGTCGTGGGGAAGCCACGAAATTCCGAGTACCTTAAGGGTCTTGTCCTGCTGAAGGAGGTGATTCTCCATGTCGGTTTGACGCGTTGCCAAATCGCGCAGCAATTCAGGCGAATTCGACGCCCATTTCCGTAATTGAAAGCCCCCTCGCTGAAGGAGTCCCGTCAATTGCTCGCGACACTCCATCAGCGACTCGACGTCATCTCCACCGAATAGCGCGTCGGCGACGTAGACGGAGTCGCGTAGTATCGGGACGGCCGCCGGATAGTCGGACCCTTCGTCTAACGATAATTGTTTCAAAACGCGCATCGCGAGATACGGAGCGGGAGCGAGCCCGTACGTTACGGTCAAAAGCCGGAAATGCGTGATCGGCGTGTCGCAGGACGGACGCCAGAGAATTCGTTGGAAGTCGGTATCGAGATTATTCACGAGGATTTGCCGGAACATCTTGGCGATGTCTGCCGCATAAACAAAACGCCACTGCCGCCAGCGCAGCAGAATAGCGGGGAGATCTTGCTGTAACTTCGGTCCGACCAGCAGATGGTCGTTAAGCGACGTGCCGTTCGTCGTTTTGCACGAGGCGTTAAAAACGACGCGTAACTTCGTGGTACTACTCGTTTCGCGTAAAAACCGAATGATGCGGAATGTACACGGGCGTAAGAGCGGTGTCGCTGGAACTTTCGATCGCGCTCATATGTCCCAAGGCGAGATATTCCGCCAAAAAGTCATTATACTGCGCGGAGAGTTCGGCGTGCCGACGCAGCTTCCTTTCAATTTTCTCGTAGAATACTGTGGCGATAGGCAGTGAATCGCCTATGTCGATAGGTAGTTCGTGCCTGAAGGGCAATCGAACAATGTACCGTCCTTCTGGAGAACGGCTATGAGTGGCGAGGAAGTGTTGTTCGCAACGCTCCTCCTCGTCGGTAAGTGGAGGGGGGCTTGAGACCTCCTCGTCCTCCCAAAATTGCCTGAGAAGCGAATTCGTGTCGTGCGTAGACACGTTATGACAGACGCAAATATTCGCGGATTCAATCCGGCCGCGACCCGTGGGGCCGGAGAGAATCCAGCCTAACGCTGTCAATTGAGCGGTAGGCGTTCCAATAGGGCCTTGCCGGAGGCCATCTTTCAACAAGGAACCGTACAAGTCAGCACCGATTAGTAGGTGAATCCGATGACTTGAAGGATCGGGATCGGCAAGTGAGATGCCTTGCAAGTGAGGTCACGACTCGACGGGCTGAGTCCGCGACGCGGCGTACGAAGTAATATTTTGAAACACGTAGGCGTGCAGCGGGAAGCCCGGTTCCGCACTGGAACACGGCTTTAATGTCAGTACGACGCGAGATCTCGCGACGCCTGTAAATTTCTCGCCGAAACACGTAACTTGCAAATTTGAGCGTTGTCGCTTTGTACGCAACGTCTGACAGAGCGATTGCGAAATAAAACTGAAAGTGGATCCTTGATCCAGTAAGGCGCGAACTTTAAAGCTTCGGCCTTCGGTCGTGTGAACGTCAACCCATGCGATTGCCAAAAGGACATTCGAAGGAACCGTGTCCGCGGGGAGACCGGTCCGTGTGTTCGTGACATGATTGCTGCTCGCAGCGACTGGCGCGTTGGACGCTGTCGGAGTGAACGGTTGCGCTTCCGCTCTTATCTTCGAAGAAGTTGCCGTAGCATCGGCTTTTACATTATTTGAGAAATGTAGTAACGAGTGATGTGAACGACTACAGTGCGAACATCGAGATTTGCTCGGGCATTGCTGAAGGAAATGTCCGGATCTCAGACAATTGAGGCAAAGCCTGCTTTGACGCGCGAAATCGCCGCGCTGCTCAACCGTTTTATCAAGAAACTCTTTACATTTCAAGACCGAGTGATTTCCGGAGCAACCAACGCATTTGTTTGCAGTGACGTTATTAACCGACGAGCGCGGTTTATCGTCTCTGTAACGACGAGTATCTTTCGACGAATCGGAATGATCGGATAATCTGCGAATGCGTAGAGTCAGAAAGTCATTAATATCTTTGTAAGACGGAAGCTTGGCGAATTCCGTGCGTTTCAAATTCCATTCGCTGCGAGTGCGAGGACTAAACTTCTGAGCAATAAGATAAACGAGAAGATCGTCCCACTCATTTACCGGACGATCGAGATTCTTTAGCGCGGCTAACGACGAAGAGACCGTATCGCGGAGTTTTCGCAAGTCGTTCACATTCTCCGTTTTCATCACAGGTAGACTAGCAAACGCGTGCAAATGCGTATGAACTAAGGTTTGCTGGTCGTCGTATTCGTCGATCAGCAGTTGCCACGCAGAGTCGTAATTAGCTTCCGAAATTTTCAAGTTATGGATCAACACCGCGGCTTCACCGGTAACGCTTGTTTTTAAGTAATGAAATTTCTGCACTTTAGAAAGCGAAGCGTTACAGGCCACGAGAGACTCGAACATATTTCGAAAACTCTCCCATTCCGCGATTTTACCAGTAAATTTTGGCAACGATACGTGGCAATCGCGAGATCTGAGAACTCGACTCGCGCGAAACAGACTCGTCGTGACTATCGGATAATGAAGAGTTAGTGTTAGCGGGTAACAGTCTACTTAGCGCGTTTTGTAGAATGTCGCTGGTGTTGGCATAGACGTTCTCGGCTTCTAGGATTACGTTGTCCACGAAATAGGGCAGGCTCTTTAGCTCCCCGGACGTAGCGGTCTGCAACAGCAGGACATGTTGGTTGCTACAGGCGGCCCAGAGCTCCTTCAGCTGGGAGATGCGGCTCTGGATCGTCGGCACCGTCACGCTCGCCTTCGGGAGTTTCTTGTAGTTGATGAGCACGCGTTTGAGAGCACCAATTTTGTACTCTTGCGCTAAGATTAGATTCTCGATTTCCTCGGCCATCGTGAGGTACGTTTGGAATCGAGGCGCGCGTAGCGGCGCTCGAGTATTATTTTTCGAAACGAGGAGCTCGTCGCTTCGACGAAAATCGATGTTACGGACGGAACGCAAATTGCGTTTTTCGCAATAGTCAATGCACGAGCGAGACGCGAGTAGACGCGTTCGCGAGAGTCACTAGCTCGACGGAGCGCAAGGAGCGTCCGCGAGTAGCACAACGATTTCACTACGCGAAACGCGTGGAGCAGCGTTCGCGAGAGTCACTAGCTCGACGGAGCGTAAGGAGCGTCCGCGAGTAGCACGATAGATTCACTACGCGAAACGCGTAAAGCAGCGTTCGCGAGAGTCACTAGCTCGACAGAGCGTACGGAGCGTCCGCGGGTAGCACGATAAATTCACTACGCGCAACGCGTGGAGCCGCGTTCGCGAGAGTCACTAGCTCGACGGAGCGTAAGGAGCGTCCGCGAGTAGCACAACGAATTCACTACGCGAAACGCGTGGAGCAGCGGATTTCGCGAGTGTCATCTTCCGCGAGCGAAGTTTGTAAGGCTTCGGCGCGGGAGGCGACGCACCGACGGACGCGAGTTGCGACGTCCGTTACTTTTCGGCGCGGCGGAGCACTTTGTGCGCCCGCACGATGAGCACGAACTGAGAGTCGCGTTTCGGTTTTCACTTAAATCCAGCTCGAAGGACCACTTTTGTTGCCGGCGGCGGGAGCCCTCGATCAGGTTCCCCCGTTAACGACAATGAAGACTATTTATTTGTGCGCCGGGTTCGCACGGACGCGTCGACGGATCCCTCTTGACCCGTCGCTCTCCAGATTCGTACTGACCTTTTGTCGCGCGAACTCGAATGGCTCGCGGCTTTGATTGTGGAAGCGATAACGCGATTCGCCGATAACATCGGCCCAGCAACGAGCGACTAATCAGAGGGTAACACACCAAGTACGACGAGAGCCTTTTTTCTGTGTCGAAAGACTCCCGTCGTCATCGGCACACAAACACTCGCTCTCGAAGTCGACATTGCTCGAAAGTCGAATCAACAACGATTCGAAGCGAAGACGTTTATCAAGCGATCTCGACGACCGCACGAATTAACGCTCCAATTCTGAACAGAAAGAATGAAATCCCTTTGGGGTCTGAAACGAAATATTAGCTTTAGTATACACTTAATAAGTAACTGCGATATATAAAAAAGGTAAACATTAAGTTTACCCTACCGAAAAAAATCACGTCACAAAATTACATAATGAAATCATGTAAGTAAAATAGGTAAACTACGTAACGGATTGTTCCAAATCAGTATGTGATTTTTTTTAAATCGCGTAATTTGAAATCAGTATGTGATTTTTTTTAAATCACGTAATTTGAAAAGTTACACAATCATATTAGGTGTAAAACTTTGCTCCCGCCGTTTTCTTGTAGATGACTTTAGCGGTAAGTGGTGGTCGAAATAAATAGATCATAGAAGTCATACAATAAACTTGGGCATCTGTCAACATAACCCCATAGAAACATTAGTCGATTTGTGTCTGCATCATAAAGTTATTCTCGAATAAAATTGTCAGTTTACGAGCCAAATTCTCGTCATTTGCGGGAGGTTTTAATTTTCTGTTTCAATATGAAGAAATCTGCGGCTGAGGCTCATCGAATGCTCTCAAATACTTATGAGGCCGCTATTAGTGAAGGAATGTGTCGTGAGTGGTTTCAACGCTTCAAGAACGATGATTTTGACGTCGAAGACCGGCATAGCGATGGAAGAGAGAAGGTTTTTGAAGATGCAGAATTGGAGGCATTACTTGATCAAGACTCGTGTCAAAATCAAGAAGAATTGGCATGATCATTGGGAGTGACTCAACACGCCATTTCGAAACACCTCAAAGCCATGGGAATGATTCAGAAGCAAGGAAATTGGGTGCCGTACGAGTTGAAGCCGAGAGATGTTGAACGGCGTTTGTTTGCTTGAGAACAACTGCTTGAAAGGCAAAGACGGAAGGGATTTCTGCATCGCATTGTGGGGATGAAAAATGGGTTCATTACGATAACCCCAAGCGCAGAAAATCATGGGAAGTTCTCGGCCATGCTTCCACGTCGACGGCCAAACCAAAAATTCATGGTTTCAAGGTCATGGTCTGTACTTGGTGGGACCAGCTCGGCGTAGTGTATTATGAGTTGTTAAAACCGACTGAAACAATCACAGGCGACCGGTATCGAACGCAATTGATGCGTTTGAGCCGAGCATTGAAAGATAAACGGCCGCAATACAACGAGAGACACGATAAAGTGATTTTGCAGCATGACAATGCTCGACCCCATGTTGCGAAAGTGGTCAAGACATACTTCGAAACGTTGAAATGGGAAGTCCCACCTCACCCGCCGTATTCTCCAGACGTTGTTCCCTATGAATATCATTTGTTTCGATCAATGGCACACGGCCTGGCTGACTAGCACTTCCGGTCGTATGAAGAAGTAAGAAATTGGATCGATTCGTGGATCGCCTAAAAAAATGACCAGTTTTTTCGACGCGGGATTCGTACGCTGCCCGAAAGATGGGAGAAAGTAGTGGCCAGCGATAGACAATACTTTAAATCATAAATGTATAACCAGTTTTTTACAATACTGCCTCGAATTTCGGGAAAAAAAAACGGCGGAAGTAAAGTTGTACACTTAATATGTTTTTTCTTCCTATTCTTTAAAATATTTAATTCTTTAAAATTCGATAATTATAAAATCACATAATAGATAAAATTATTTCTAATATTATTTGATTTTTCAAAAAAATTACGTGTGTAACGTCCGGTGCGCTACAATATAGCGTCTCGTCCGTTTACCAAGCGAGCGCGAGCACGGAATATAGCGAACGATATAATACGTGCCAACTACAAGCGCGTGTAGCTATAGGCCAAGCTACCGAAACCGTCGCGTTCGAACGCCGCGCGCACCGCGCCTGCGCCAAAATTCGGCATAAATGCCGAAAACGATGCAAGATGCACTTTTAGGAGAAAACACCGTTAACACGATGTAAGGAATAATTAAGGCAACAACTGACCTCGACGCAGTCGCAGGGAAAAACCTCAGATCTGCAGAAAACCTATATATACGCATAAAGTCAATGCAATGCATCGCCGCGCAACCACGAATGCACCCACCGGTCGCAAAAGAGCCCTGCATACGAATAAAACCATCGCGGATAAAACCAAGGTCTACATAAACGAGGAATGACCTTAAATAAACATCAAATTCCACGCGCACAAGGAACAAAGGATCTAAAACGATACAAGAAACCTATAATGAAAAAGCGCGCAGGAAACATGTGCAAGCCCTGCCGCAACGAGCTGCGATACACGAGAGCCACGCGCGCCTCGCGAATACGAATCTCGCAACCCCTGCAACAGAATAAAACGCGCTACCTAACTAAAACCCTATTGCAATTAGAATAAATCATAAATTACACAATCAGCAAGTAATAGCAATTCCGCAACGACACATGAGCGAAAACATCCCCTTGCCGCGAGGGGCCACGAAGTAAACAGTATATAAAGCAGAGCAGCTAAAGACAAGTACCCTCTTCCTGATTTCTTCCTGAAATTCCGAACGGTAAGCAATTCTAGCGCTTTTATTAGCGCTCCAGGACCTTCCGTATCTCCTGCCGAAAAACCAGCCCCGATCGTGCGCCAACCACGGCGTCTGACGGGCTACATCCTCGCCTAGTTTCGACAGCGCTGATCACAGCGATGCCGAAACCATCTCCCTGCGGAAACTCTAAACGAGCGCCTTCTCGGCGTCGAGGCCTCCGCACCCCCTTTCTTATCCTCCAAATGCCACTCTTACAACGCTTCTTTTTTGGCGTAGATGCCACCAAAGAAGCAACCGCGCGGGAAACGTGGAGGCTGGCGTGTCCACCTAAAGAGGCTCCAACAGGAGCTCTTCAGGGAAGGGAATTTCGACCTCCCTTCCCACTACTGGGAGGAGAACACCAGGGACACGTTTACCACCGCAACGCCGACCGCGCCGACCGACATCGCGGACCCTCCGAACACTGCCCACGAGGCGAGCACCGCCGAACGCACGGTCACTGCAAATCCGTTGTCGCGACCGAGACCTCCACCGTCTCCTCCACACGTGGCACCCGTAAGGAAGTCTACCAGGCCCATCCTTATAACCTCTAAACCGCGGGTGATAAATAATACGCCTTGTGCAATAAACATTAGTATATTATAATCAAAATCACTTCTACTTTATTTATCCGCCTTAAGGCCTTCTTAAAAACCTTTCCAGTCCTTCTCAACATAACAGAGAGCGTAGATAGAGAGATTGCGAAATGAAGTCAACTGACGCATCCTCTAAACTCTCCTCATTATTTTGTTGGAAGAACTCGGAAGGTCGATCACTTTAAAAATCAAACAATCAATTATCTCCGAAATTCGTGCTCGCATCTGAGCACTGGTGACAGCTGCCCGTTCTCAACAAAAGAAAAACGCGTCAAAACACCGCGTAGAAGCCAAGGCTTCGCCCCGCGCGCCCCGCTCCGCGCTCACGTTCCCAGAAGTTGTGTCGCGTCTCGAGACCGCTAAAAACTCGCGCTCAGAACGTCACACGTGATTTAAAAAAATAAGGTAATGATTTAGAACAATTCATTATGTAATTTACTTGTTTTAATTACATGATTTCGTTATGTAACTTCGTGATGTGATTTTTTTCAGAAGGGTAATCTAACATCTCAGATGTTTTTTCTTACCTGATAAAAATTACGAGAAGATTTCAATGACGATTTTTCAAAACGAATTTTTATTCATATACGTACTATTCATGTATCACAAGAGAACAGATTTATTTATCAAAAAAATGTTTGTTTCAAGAAGTAATGTAAGCTATTAATTTATTTCATTGATATATCTATTATATTTCTCACTGCAAAAGAATTTCTTTTAAAACACATACTTTCCTTTCCTTAGTATGACAGAAAATATTCTTATCTTAACTAACAGATTTAATATAAATATATAT